TCAGCAAAAGTTTCCTTTTTACTTACCCTTTGCACCTTTCCTTTTAAACACAGATAGGATTATATTTCATATTTGAATATGACAGTAATCACTGATCGTATCAGTGCGTGTGGTTTGAGAAGTACATTTGGCCAGCATTCCTTTCCATACTATGCACAAATGAATACTGTTCTTTAACTCAGTGGCTGTTATCTGCTAAATGGTGCAGCCACTGAAGTTTCTTTACTCTCCGTTGTTTATAAGCTTTTGCTCAAAAAGAGCCAGGCATTAGGCTGGCTAGTGTATTGCTATTGCACAGTGTGGCCCTGACACATGGTTTGAAAGTATTATTCCGGGCCTTGAAGTACCGCTATTTGCTTTTTGGAATGTGATTGTTGTATATGTGCTACGAAACAATAGTTTGTCATCATTAAAGTTCCATTATGATGCGAGAAGGAGTCTCTGGGTGGTGCAAACAGTTAAGCAACCGGCTACTAACCTAAAGGTTGGTGGTTCAAACCCGCCCAGAGGCTCCATGGGAGAAAGATGTGGTGATCTGCTCCCATAAAGATAACAGCCTTGAAAACCCTGTGGGGCAGTTCTACTCTGTCACATGGGGTTGCTATGAGTTGGAATTGACTCAACGACACCCAACAACAACATGAGGTGAAAAGGAGTCCTTGGGCAGTGCAAATGGTTACTGAGCTGCTGACCGAAAGGCTGGAAGTTCAAGTCCACCCAAAGGCACATTGAAAGAAAGATCTGGCAATCTACTTCCAGAAACTCAGCTATTGAAAACCCTGTGAAATGCAGTTCTACTCTGACACACAGGGGCTCTCCATGTGTTGGAATTGACTTGAAGGTCTTTTTTTCAATGAAGTGAGTGGGTAGCAACTTGCCACGGCTTGTGAGGTGTGGCAAGATTCTTGTTAGGTACTGCTGAGTCAGTTTTGGACTCACAGAGACCTCATGTGACAGAGTAGACCTGCCCACCCAATGGGGTTTTCTAGGCTGTAATCTGTACGAGAGCAGATCGCCTGGTTTTTTTCCCATGGAGCTGCTGTGTGGGTTTGAACGCCAAGTGCTTAACTGTTGCGCCACAAGGGTTTCTCAGGCAGAGTTCTTAGGACTATGGAAATAGCCTGGGGTTTGTGGGCTTTGATGGGTGAAGAGCACATGGTCACTCTGCCTTCCCCCCACCCCCACATTTCCTCCTCACAAGATCTTCATAAGGATCTTGGCGTCCCACATTGAAAAGAATCACTGCTGTTGGTCTGAGTGGGAAACACATATGGCTCTTGGAGGCCAAGAGGAGGAAGGTCTTCATGTTTGCAGTCGGTGCTGGGTGCATTCCCAGGTAGTTCGTGGCACATAGTGGATGAGCAGTAGTGAGATGATTGAAGGAATTTGTGCATGAATGGAGGAAATAAACTAGCATTTGTTTATAGTTTTCACGCAGTCAAGCTACTTTCTTTCAGGCTTGAAGAATTTCCTGTAAGGATTAGCTTCTCAGTGAAGAATTGGCCCACACCCTGAGGGTTCTTTCTTCTGCTACTACTCTTAAGACCCCATGGTCACATGATAAATGAAACCAGACTGCATTAAAAAAAAATTTTTTTTTTTTTACTGAGGTAAAATTCACACAACATAAAACTAACCATTTTAAAGCAAATAGTTCAGTGGCATTTAATATATTCGGTGTTGTGCATCCACCGTCTCTAGTTCCAAAACATTTCCATCGGTACAAACATACTGCATTTTTATCCTTAATTAATTTTTCTGATTTTACTTGTATATTGACTGAAACAGTCAGTCCTTAGAGATGAATATTACACACTCCTTTTCTGTTTTGTCTTACTTGTTCTTTTCCAATCTCTGCTTTCTTTGTTTTTTCTAAATAGGAAGTCCATATTATTCTCCATCTATGATTTGAGAGCATTGACAGTCTCCCAAGTCAAGTGAGAGCTGGAGATGAAAATGAAACCTCTGTGCATCTTACTCCTAATAATTCTAATAGTCCTGTTCATTTTTCAGTTGGCTTAATTTTATATTTCCTTACAACCCATCTCTTCATCATTCTTACAAACGATCCATACATCTGGAGTACCCGAGGGCTTTTTTTTTTTTTTAAGGTGCAGTTGTAGTTTTTTTTTTGTACACATATTGTTTTATGACATTG